AAGATTGACCTTATTAGTAAATAACCGGACAAAGAACGCAAAAGCTTGTCATATGCATCGGAAAATATTTAATGAAAAAGAGCATAAGTGATGCTCATATGACAAGCAAGCACAAAGTTAAAAGAAACTCTATGCTTGAGGGGAGGGGGAAAAGAAAAATAAAAAGAATCAAAAGAAAAATTAAAATAAGAAATAGAAAAAGAGGGAACAAACTCATTTAGTTGCATTTTGGAAGGTGAAAGCTCATCATTGAAATCAAAAGTAAGGCCATGGTGGTATAGAGAGGCAAGGGGCTCCTCAATTGGTTTATTTTTGAGAAAATATGGTAGTGAGATGGGAAAAGAAGGAATATTGCTAAACTTCCTTGAAAAAGGGATGTAAGTTGAAGGGGTTTGAATTGGGATCACACTCACCACCTCAATTACACCACCTAGCATTGAATCACAAGCTTTCTCTTCCAACTCATCTTCAATACCCTCAAAGATTTTCGATGTATTCTCAATCACCAATTGGGATATTTCACTCTCAACAAGAGCATGATCATCATTGTTAACATTCCCCAAGTCACCATGAATGAACATCGGTATCTCATCATCACCTAAACCAAACTTTTCTCTAAGCAACCTCAAATCAATGTTTAATTGCATCAATTTTGTATCGTCAATGGGTTGCGAAGAGTTTTGAGGCTCAAATTGGGTGGAGGGGTTGGTATTCACGAAGTCATGAAAAATCTCACCATCCATACTCCCTCCATCACTTTCAAAATCATCATCCTCAATCACATTCTCAAAGTCCAAATGAGTTGTCTCACTCTCTTGATTACCCTTAGGCTCACTCAAATGGGAGGAGGGAGAAGAAGGAAAGGCATCCTCTTGGGATGAGGCTAGTTGGGAAATTTTACTTTCCATAATTTTAATCCAAGCTTCCCTTTCATTCCTCTCTTCATCTTGTTTTCTCATAAACTCCTTAAGCATCTCCATACACTCTTCTTCCTTCGATCTCCCCACTGAATTACCCTCACAAAAAGGCTCATTAGACACATAGGGGAACTCATTAGGAATCGTGTATGAAAAAGGAAAGGAAGATGAAGAATTATGCATTTGAGAATTTGGGGTGTGTGAAGCATCATTGGAATTCATGCACATAATTGATGAACATTGAAAAATATCATGAACATTATCAACATTGGGATGCATCTCATCACAATTAGCATACAAAAGGGAAGGGTTGCCATCACGCATCAAGGGATCATCATGGGGAACATAAGAATCATCATTAGAGTTTATGCAAGAGTTAGAAAAATCACAACAATTATCATAATTATCTTGCTCATTGCTATCCCGAGCAAACCACAAATAGAAATCCCAAGCCTCATCCGAAGATGTGGCTCGAAATTCACCATTAAATATGTTTTCAACCACCCCCCTAGTGTACTCATTCAAACCCCAATAAATTATCTCACTAGACTCCCATAAAGTACAACCAAGGTAATTAGAGAAGTCTTCAAACCTATTAAAGTATACCCAAAAGGGCTCATATTCAAATTGAGGCAAAGAAGGACATGACATTTCATTTTGGACAAATTGATCCATGACTCAATGAGTCAAAACAAATAGCAACCAAATAAGAAAGCTCAAATATTTTTGGAATTTCTCCTTTTTTTTCTTTTTTTTAAACAAAAAATAAACAAAAAGAAAAGAAAATATTCGCAAAGACCTAGACTCAATAAGGTAATACAACAATAACGGAAGCCGTCCCCGGCAACGGCGCCATTTTGGTGAAGGATAATTAGGTCGTTGGACTAACTACCCTAAACCAAACAATATTTATAAACCTACACCTACACTAAACAAGTTTAGTGGTAAGTAGAGGGTCGAACCACGGAGACGACATAAACACTATCAACACCACCACCAATTAAGCTAGGTCAAAGAGATAGGATGGATAGAACAATAAACAAAATGAGATTAATATTAAGTTAAACTTACACCAAGGGAGAGGGTCAAACATGACAATGATATTCAATAAAGTTAGGCAATGGAAATGAGTTTACATGCAAACCAAATATCTCATATAAGGCAATACCAACAATACCATCTAACCACCTATCGGGGTCAAAGGCTTTCCCAACTTAACACATGCTCATACTATCGTCATAAGCTATGAAAGTTAAGGTTTTTGCATAGAATCGATCACCTAATGGATATCCCTAAGTTACACTATCGTCATAACTTAGTTCAATCCACCCAATTACAACACATGATTGGCCATTCACATGGAGTAATTAGTAAAACATGGTTACAAGGTATATTTAATCACATATAACCAACATTTGTCTAGCCTAATACATTCAAGATTCACCACATGCTATCACCAATCCCTTAGTAAAGGGAATTACTCACTAATCATGAACAACTAACACAAAACCCAACAAGAAGAACAAAGAGAAGCAATTAAACTAAATAACTACTCTAATCAAGCAAGAAATTAAGAAAGAGCAATAAATGAGATAGAGTTTAGAATGCTCATTGAAGTATTGAAAAGGAATCCAAAACAATGTCACTTTGCATCTTCATCTTCTTCAATCCACCATTGAAGCTCTTCACTGTCTCTCTCTAAAATACCCTAAATTACTCTTAATCTACATTACAAAATATAAAAACAAAGATTAAAACTAAATCTAAGCCTAATTTATGTGAAGATTGATGGAGAGATGTTAGGGTTTAACCCCTCAAAGAGGAGAGAGAAAACCCCAAAGAAAACCCACCATCAAAACTTCCAAAAAGAGGAGAAGAAGAAGCGTTTAAAAGACCCGTAGCTGCTCGTGCGCGCCCGCGATATTTGCCTGCGCGCCCGCGCACTGGGATTGGCCTGGCAGCAACATTCATTTTCAAATAGCCATAACTTCTGTTCTAGGAGGCTTTTGTGGGCGTGCGACCTACCGTTGGAAAGCTCTTTAAGTCTAGTTTCCAATGCAACTTGAATCACCTCAATCCAATTTGTAGATCAAACGTTATGGCTAAAAGAGTGAACAAAGGTTAGTTTTGGAGTTCAGGCCCTTGAGCGCCAGCACCTATCTTAGGAGCGCCCGCGCCTATCTTAGGAGCGCCCGCGCCTAAGCCGCACCCAAATCGCGCCTACATTCTGCCTCCAATATTTTCGACCCCAATGTTAGGCACGCCCGCGCTGGGTTTGGCGCGCCCGCGCCATTCTGAAAGCGCGACCCGCGCTGTCCGTATGGCCTTGCTTGCTTGCTCCTTAACTTCCTTTGTAGCTCTTCAAATGAACTCCAATTCTCCAAGCTCTTCATTCTATTAAAATCAACTCCAAAATCCTACAAAACACGAGGAAAAGCACAAAAACATAATAAAGAGATAAACGGAGCAAAAGGGGTACAAACAAGGGACAAACGTAGAAAAATACCGTGATTAGAGGATCTAAATAGTGGCATAAATGCCACTTATCATCTTTGTAATGCCATGTTCTTTGTCAAACACAAACATGTTCTTTTGTCGAATACATATATGTTCTTTGTCAAACACTAGTATGTTCTCTTTCAAACACTAATTGACTAATATGTTCTTTTTCAAACAGTAGTATGTTCTTTCTGCCTTTTTTAGTTTTACCGGGTGCACCATGCGCATGGTGCACCCGGGTGCACTATACTATTTTCATAGGTTCTTGGCTTTTGATAGTAAGACATTTGATCCTTTCTTGTCACTTTTGTTGGAGTTCAAAGTGATTCATGTCTACGCTGAACATGAGTTAGGGCCTACATTACACACTACTGGTATGGGATTGGGTCATGGTTCTTTCATTGAGTTGCTTACTAGTGGTGGGGTAGGGTGTTTATTACTAAGGGTTAATGAACAATTTGGGTTTGATGTGGACTATGATAGTGAAGGGATAGATGAGGATGATGTTGAACTCCTCAATGCTAGGAGTAAGGTAAGCCAACAGAAGTTGGAGGAGAAGACATATGAAGATGAGATGGATATGTTAAAAAGGGCAGCAGAATCTAAGGAAGGGAAGTTGATTTCTTTGGCAATGATTGGGAAGGAGAAAGTGATGTTGACAGTCCTAGTGAGAATGAGGATGATGATGACTTTGATTACCATATGCCACCCCAAGGTGAGAAAAGGCAGAGAGTTGTTCGGAGTGATAGTACAAAGTCAAATTTTTTTGTAGGACAGAAACTTGATAATGTTGTTACCTTTAGGAAAGCTTTGGCACAGTACACAGTAGAGTGTGGAAGGAACTTACATTTTTATAGGAATGATCCAAATAGGGTTGGGGCTAAGTGCAAGCAATTTCCAAAGGGTTATCCTTGGAAGATATGGGCATCTATGGAGCAGGGTAAAAGGAATTTTCAGGTGAAACTTCATACTATGGAGCATACTTGTAGGAGGTCTATGAAGATTAAGACAATGAATTCAGGTTGGATTGCAGATTATTTTGGTAACAAGTTTAGAGTGAACCCTTATATGAAGGTCCATGACATAATTGAGACTCATTGGTTAGAGAAAGGGATGAAAGTGAGCCGAACGATGGCATATAGGGCAAGAAAGGGCAACTAATATTGTAGGGGAGTATGAAGAGAAATACTCTCTCCTGCCTAGGTATGTTACAGAAATAAGGAGGAGTAACATGGGAAATACAATGAAATTGCAGTTGAATGCATATGTGTTTGAGAGATTGTACATTTGTTTTGAAGCTCTGAAAAAGGGTTTCCTTGTAGGTTCAAACCCTTTATTTCACTTGATGGCTGCTACCTGCACTACTTCATTTTTAATCAAATGCAACGGCTAAAAAAGAGCTAGTGCAAAGGCTTATTTTATTGTCGTTGCGTTAGATAAGCCTAATACAACGGCATAAACCTTGTACATCAAAAGGTGGAGCTAACGCAACGGCTTTAAGAAACCGTTGCATTAGGTGTACTAATACAACGACCTGAAAGGTTATTGCCACGGCAGTGATATTAAATATTCCGTATGAAAATGCGCTTAAAGTTCACTCTCCTCAGACCTCACCATCTCAGTTCTCTCTCCTCTCTTTTTCTCTCCTTCTCCCTCTTCTCTTCCTCAAAGACGAAGGCAACCATCGCCGCAGCTGCAACAACATCCACAACCACCGTCGTTCACAAATTAAATTCTCTCTCTTTCTTCTCCACCCTCATTCACTGATGGTTACGGTGGTGATGGTGGTCGCGAGTGATAACGACAGTGCGGTTCGATTTTTAGGGTTTTGATTGGTGTTCATGGTATGAGCTTCTTTAAACTTTCCTCTTTAAATTTCAAATTTGGGGTTCCTTTGCATAATTACTAGTTCAATTTTTTGATTTTTTTTTTCAATTTCTAGGGTTTCGATTTGTAACTGTTGGCGGTGGTGAAGAGCAGCGACGGTGAGTTTTGATTTGTAATTTATGGCCGTGGTGGAGAGTTGCTGAACTAACGTCACTCAAACTCCAGCTTCGTGCCCTGATCTTTGAGTAAGCCTTATCTCTTTATCTCTCCTTTTTCTTCTTTCTCGCTCCTCTCTAATTCATCTCTTCTGCATTCATCAGGAAACAGAAAAATCTGCCAAAAAACAAGTCCATGTTTAGGCTTTGATTTATATGATTTCAGATTTATGTCTAATTTTGCGGAATTTACGAGTCTTATTAACTATTGTTTCTAGGTTGTGTGATTTTGATTGCTTTATCTTGTGTTCACTGGAAATGTTTAGATGTTTATTTTCTAAGTTTTTGAGTTATCAAATGTTTTTTTATGTATTGTAACAATGAGAATTTGTCTGATTAGGTTAATTAGGGTTTAATTATAAGTATTGATTTATATGTATTGTTCATTTGACTGTATAATTAGGGTTTAATTATTTAGGTTCTGAGTTGATTACTTAATTAGTGTTATTTTTGGGGATTATTTGCTATAAATTCTGTAATTTACTTTGAAATGAGTGGACTTCAGGCTACTTGACTTAGGATGACAGGTTGTTCAAGTCTTGGTTAAAGGCACATGATTTAGGTGGAAATGGTTTTGTTTTAGATGCTGATGAATTATTCTGTTTAGAAGTTAAATTCAAAGGATGATTTCATGGATTACACAACTTGATGGTTAGACTCGGATTAGTGAGATTACATACCGAACATTTTGGTTTCTTGATGATATGAATTTGCATAAAGTCTGGCATTGTTTTGTGCATCCTGATGAGCTGAAGTCCTTCAATAACTTTAAGTTGTGTACTAGAATGCAGACACAAATTGCTGTTTCAGTAGCTAACCTTCTCAGCCAATGTGCGGAGGCTGCTTTGCCAAATCAGAAACGAAGTATAGCAGCGACAGAATTCAAGCAGGCAAAGGTTGATTATAAGAGACGCGCCAAAACTTAGCTGGAAGAAAAAGGTAGCATTTGCTGAGATCAAATGTCTAAAATAGACATTAAAGCATTTAGAATTCTGCTATGAAAGGATCTAGGAACCCTGTCAGTTGGTCAATGTGTCCTTAAATTGTTGTTAAGTCTTCGAAATTGATTGATCGTTTCTACGAGCTACCTGTTGAGGAGAGATCTTTCACCAAGTTGACCTAGCCTAAAGCGGCTATCCATATTGAGGATTTAGAGGAGGGAAATTATGAAAGTGAAGCTGCCCTAGTCATGTCTGCTGGTATGTTTTGTTTATTTCCTTTTTTTTTTTTTTTTTTTTTTTTTGTCGTTGCTGCCTTGATGTTTATTCCTACTTGGTTTTGTATTAGACATATCTGGGAAGATTTTAGTATGCCTGTAGTTGTGGCTTTGTGTTGCTTGTTTTGTTTTTCCCTGTGTGTCCTTGTGTGGTGAGTGTGTTACTTTACGCTGTTGTAGATACTACTAGGTCACTAAAGTCATCTTCATCGCAAACAATTCTCCAGAAAAGACATCTTTCTTCTTCTGTCGTCAACTTTGTTATTTGAATTATATTCTCATGTCCTACGACCATTGATTCACACACGTCCTTGCTTCTGCTTAACAACACAATCTTGAAGAAGTTTTTGCCGTACAAATTCCCTAGTTTACTCAAATCAACTTTGTCCTCAACATGGTCCAACACTAGCAGTATCTTCCCATCATCATTATCAACCCATTTATTATGACTCAAATCTTCGTACAACATTATTGCCCTTTGCTCTACGCTGTACCTGTCTCTCCATGCTGTACAACCTTTACAAACTCTCTCTTTTATCTTGTTTTGAATGTCTTTCATATATGCCAATAGCATCCACCTGATCATCTAGTAATTTTGGTATGATCACTTGTTTGGCAAGTTGATTGTTTCTGGAATCCAAGGGATAGGCTACACACTCATCTACCATTTTTTTTAACATTTCCAATCTCTAAAGGATTACTGATGGGTGCATTATCTATGCTCGGACGTTTTTCGTAGATCGTTTCAACAGTTTTGGTCTTCCCTTGAGCTTTACGGCTGCTTTCATACCGATGTTCCATATTCCGGACGACGCCAAAACCAATTCAAAACCTTTTTTATTCGATTCTCATTTTCTGTTTTCCTTGTCTGTTATCTGACTTATCTCCTTCAACAACCTCCTTAGATCCTCGTCATTGTTCAGTAGTTCATCGGCTTCTCTAAGTTATTCTTCAGCAGATTTCGACTGCGATTCTCCAGTGTCTTGTTTAGTTTTTCTAGTTAAATTTAGCTTTCTTAAATTTAGGCAAATGATTTAGTCTGTTTAGAAGTTAAATCTACCTGTTCTTTTCTGTTTCTGAAGGTAAGAAAGGAGTTTACAAGTGAAATTTATTCTGCAATCGCTGCATTTCTGGGGTTGTTTATGAGGGTATCAGGAGGTCATTCAGACCTTACCCAGTTATTTCAAGTTGCTGCTTATCTAGCTTTGGTTACCTACAATCGCTACTTATATTTCGTGTTGTATTTCTTATTATTGTCTACATGCAAATTTGGAGAGCATTCTGGCTTGTGGGTTACCTATCTTAGTTATCTATTGATTACAGCAGTTTATCTGTCTCAGTTAGATGACTATTGTTCCAGTATTCCTCAACTGAATCAGCTAGTATTCCTTGATTCTGACATACGACATAGCGAAAATTTTCCCCTTAATTGGTGTTTCTTTGAGTTATGACTCCTATAGTAACTTTATATTAGTAAAATTAAGCTACATTTGTATATATCAGTAACTTTAAGCTTATAAACTAGTAAACCACAAATGTGTGACATGTTTTTGTACAACTAAGGTAATTAAAACCAGTTAATTCTATCTTGTTTCTTTTTAGCTAAATTGTGAAATCAGGTCAGTGTTAGTGAACTCCTGTTCTGAAATGTTCTTATTTTAGTTGTGCAAATAATACAATTGTTCGATTATTTTTAATTAAATATGAATAATATCACACTCTTGTCTAAGTCATTTGAGAGAGGGAGTGAGAGATCGATTAAGAGAGAATAAAAAACCTAAAAGTATATAATTATGTTTAGCCTCCTTAAAGACGGATTGTTGTTATTCTAATGATGCTTATTATAAAAGAAGCTTTCAAAGTTTTGAAGTTGGTATCTGTCTGTGACTTGAGTAATTGTCATGCTGTGATAAGCCCTGTTTAATGTGATGATTGTTTAAAAGCTAACCTTATCTAATAGCATATTAGCTGATGGCTTTGTAAGATAGTGTTTTCTATGTTGTTGATTATCCTATGTGCTTGGAACAAAAATATGGTTATCGAACAACATGCAGGTACACGAATAAACTTTCGAAACTTCGAGTTTATTTTCATTAACCTTGATACAACTGCTTACTTGTATGTTATGAGCTTTTGAACAATGTCCCTATGTATTGCACACCTCTCATGCACAGACTGCAGTGTAGTTCAATTCTTAGAGAATAGTGAAAATGCTTAAAGATGCTTGTTATTACATTTGCACATGTAATTTTAGGGTTTAAGGCACATGAAAGGTTTTGATGTGGACTTTATTGGTTGTTGTAGCCACTACATCCTCCGGGTATTTTTTACTTCTTTTTTTCTACTTGAATAATATATGAGAAAAGAGGAATGATGGATGTTTATCTTCTTTTTTTATTCTCAATTCTTGAAATTTGATTGTGTTTTTATAAGGTTTTTGGGTTTTATTTGATATATGCAGGTTGTAGGGAATTAACTACACTGATTTTTGACTTTGTTATTTTTACTGGTATAGCTTGCAATTATTATTCATGAACTAATTAGTTTTCGACGATAAGAACGAACTGACCCATATTTAGGATGATGTAGGTGTAAACAAATGCTTGAGCACATCAACGATTGCTATGACAGGAGTTGGACTCGATTAAGGAAACTTTGAACACTGAGTTGCAAAGAGCTCCAGCAGCATTCAGCATCATCAAGTACTAGTAAAATAGGTGGATACTGAAGTTGAAGAAGGTGCTTCCCGAATTGCTTTTTTTGAGAAATTGGAGAAGCGGGAAAAAGAAATGATAATGCGGTCCAAACAATTGCTGAAAATATGGTTTGGGGGACAAAATGATTTAGTTTTAACATTTTAATTGTTTTTTTCTTAGTTTAACTAGTGATAATTTAATTTTGTAAATTTTCTTATAGATAACAATGTACAAACTTTTAATCTATATTATTAAATTCTGATTTTTTTTAAATTTTTTTGATAATTATTATTATTATTTGGCATTAGGGTATAGGGAACCGTGGCATTGGGTATAAGAAACCGTGGCATTATGTATAGGAAACTGTGGCATTAGGTATTATAGCTAATGCCACGACAATAATGTTGTTGTTGCATAAGGTGTTGATCTAAACGGATCATTGATGCCATGGCATTAGGTGTCATTTGTCGTTGCATTAGACCTATTGCAACGCCATCAGATGCCACGGTACATGGCCGTTGCGTTAGGCCTAATGCCACGGATTTTGACGCCTAATGCAACGGATTTGAGGGTTGCAATAGGTCAAAAATGTAGTAGTGCTGAAAGGGCCTTTTGGTGGTCAATTACTTGTTGTAGTGGGAATGGATCGGAACAATCAAATGTTCCCCATTGCATGAGCTGTAGTTGAGGTTGAAAAAACAGATACTTGGACCTGGTTTCTTTCCCTCCTTGCAAATGACTTGGGAGCACAATAAGGGGCTAGTTACACTTTCATGTCAGACCAGCAAGCTGTTGCTGATGTGTTCCCAGAGGCGGCTGAGACAAGGGTTTTTGCCAGGCATGTATACTACAATTTCAGAACCGTGTTTGGAGGAGGGCTTGAATATAAGAAGCAATTCTAGATAATTGCTAAGAGCAACACAGAGAATGACTTTATAGCTAACATTGCTCAGATGAGAGCAATATCAGAAGATGCAACAGAGGATTGCTAAAGAGAAATTACAAGAAGTGGTGTAGGGAATTCTACACCCCTATGTCTTGTTATCATAGTGTGGACAACAACATGAGTGAAGTATTCAATGCCTACAGTCTCACCTCAAGGCATAAGCCCATTATCACTATGTTAGAAGATATTAGAGAGGAGTTAATGGAGAGGTTCCACATAAAGAGAGATTAAATAGGCAAGAAAGATGTACTATTATGCCCTAGGATTCAAAAGATTCTTGAGAGAAATAAGATATGGGCAAGGGGGTGAAATGCTTTTTGGGATGGAGCTTTCTGTTATGGGGTGAGGCAAGGTGCTACACAAGAGAAATTTGTGGTCAACTTACAAGACAGAACTTGTAGTTGCAATGATTGGAAAATAAGTGGAATTCCTTGCAAACATGTTGTGGTAGTGTGGAACAAAGTTGATGAGCCTGAGCATTATGTGAATGAGTACTTCACAAAGAAGACTTATCTCAAGGCCTATGACTTCCTTCTTGAGCCACTGAATGGGCCTCAATAGTGGCCTAAAGCTGATGGTGTTGTTATAGCACCAAAGTTGAAGAAAATTCAAGGAAGGCCAAAGAAAAACAGGAGGTATCATGTGGGAAAAGTAACAGCTTCTGGCAGGTTGAGAAAGACTGGTTCAGCTGTGAGATGCAGCCTGTGTGGTGTCACAGGCCATAACAAAAGAGGTTGCAAAAATTCTAGTGAGGATAGGCAGCAGGGTTCCACTAACAACCACCCAAATGATGCAGAACAGGAACCAAATACAACTCCTACAGTTCCAATGCACATGAGAGGTGTTGAGGTGTACACTTACCCCAATGGATATCAAAGAGTTACTATTGTAAGCACACTAGCCTATCAATCTGTAAATTCTTCACTTTATTGATAATATGTCATTAACACTTGTTTTTTAAACCTACAAACATTCAAGCCCAGCCTGCTCCACCAAGACAACCAGTTCAGAGAGCATTTTACAGTGATTGTAAGGGAGATTAAACAGTCTACTCTTTTGGTCAAGAGTATCCATTGTCAAGCCAACAAAGCCAATCAACTGTTATTTCTAGTCAAGCATTCCAGGTATTCCAAGTTAGGCAAAACATATTCACTTAATTAATTTAAAGTCATTTCCATTCATTAATCAAGCCATTGATTACATAAGGTCATTACAGGACCTTGCAAGGTCTAAGAGAAAAAGCAAGCACTAAGGTAAACCTGATCTACATTACATTGATTTTTTTCATTACATTACTTCCTAAACATATACCAACAAATCCCTACACACACAAGAACAGCCAACTTCCACAAATCACAATTGACCCTAAGGTTCAGTGCAGCAACCCTTCTCATCTTCAGCAGCAGGTAGTCAATCTCTATTTTCCTTACATGCTGCTTAGATTGCCTCAGTTCCTTACTCATACTAAGGACTTCATTATTCAACTCCTGTTTGTCTTGCATTAACCCTAAAATTACCTCTGGAAATTAGTTGGATCCTCCTAATCAACCCATTTAAAGTGCTTGCAGCCCCTTCTTCCTGTGTCGGCATCATAATCAGGGCAAGCAAGGAACCTCCTACCAGGATTATCCTTTGTCCATGCCCTGCTTTTGGACACTAACAGCCCATAGTTACATCTCTTTGAACCTGCATTCACCCCCAAAACTGCTCATAGACGTCTCTTATTTCTGTAAATTCAAATTGCTAAATTTTTTTTTAGGCCACTTAATCTTTTTTCCTCAATTTTTTGAATGCAAATGAAGTGATTCTGATGCTATTAAAGAGTGTTCAAGATGAAATATGGAGCCAAATATATACCGCCTCTGAATTTGTTTTAAAAATGTAAGGCTAGTTACAACAGACATTTTTGGAATAAATTGAAAGTTTAGTACCTTCCTTTAATTTTGTCGGAATTTTAGATTTTTCCTATAACCGTTGTTGTAGGTGGGAAAAGTTTAGTACTCTCCCTTGAGTACCTTGCGTGATATAAATGAAAGTTGAGTACCTTCCTTGAAACAAATTGCAAAGTTTACTACTCAGTAGTGTATATTACTCATAACAATAAGTATGGTGTAGTAATTATATTTTATTATTCGTAAAATAATTATAATAATATAACCCATTATAATTAGTTAAAATTGAAAAAAAAAATGAAAATATAACATTGATTTGCGCATGATTTTGACATGATTCCTAAATTAATACCAAATAATAAAAGTTATTAAATGTTTATTCATGACCCTAAGGACTACATACAGCATTACCCAATCGATTTTAGTAAGTAAAATTGGGATATACAACAAGAAATAAACTAGAGTAACCTATAAGGTAAGGTGAAAAAAAAATGGTACTTCTATAAGTTTTCGGTATTCTTTCACGATTACTCTGTATTAATCAATTTTTACATTTTCAAAATTGTTTATTCATCTTCTTCGTTCCATTACTATTTTGAATTTTCTCTTGCAATAAGCAAAGCAAATAATAAGCCATCAATATTAAAATATATGGAGTACTTTATAGTCATTATATATACATCTGTGTGCATATATATTCAACAAAATTTTACTCTAATTAAATCACTTAAGCTTAATTAGAACTCCATATATTGAATGTTCAACTATTCAAGTTGGATGCAGTACTATTTAAGGGAAATTGGAGTACTATCTAGAAGCATACTAATGCAAGATATTCATGTCCCATTTGACTTTTAAAACGAAATTTCATTAACTATAATGCGGAGAACTTTTGTTTTTAGGGGCTTGCCCCTCTGGCCCTCTTTCTCACCCAAAAAAAAAAAAAATGGTTTTTTCCATTTTGGTTCTACATTCTCTAATACACAATTTTTCTCGCCGCATAATTTTTCTTACCATGTATTCAACACTTTCTCCTTTCGAATTAGATGACACGTTTTGACTTTTAACCTTATTTATAAACTCTACTTTGATTAGTGCCCGTGTGATGCACGATAGTAATAATCTTCTTTTTTTTTACATAAATAATAATCTTTTTCCCATAATTAATTGTGATATAATATAAAAATGAGGTAACTCATATGGTATAAACAAATACAATGCATACAGAAAAATAATAATAAGGAAAAATTATTAAAATTACTATTGAGAAAAAAAAAAAAGTTATTGTTGATTAGTTGTATTGTAAATATTAAAAAAAGTAGTATACATTATATTACGTTAATGATAATGCATATTATTCCCAATAAAACTATACAATCTAATGACTATATGACTAAAGACTTATTTGTAAACATGAAAATATTAATCAAATAACAGAATAAAATTTACAATAAAACTATTAGCACAACATACATGTAAATATATAAATTGCAAATAATATATCACCTTTATATCTAATAAAATAATTTCAATAGAAATAAATACTACTCAGACCATTAAAGGCAATAATAATCCACAAACAGGCAACACTAACCTATATTATTAAGGATTAATACCGTTTTTTAATCCCAACTTTTACCAATTTAGTTTCATTAATAACAACTTTGGATTATTCCTCAATAATCCCAACTTTGAGGTGGCCTATCATTCTTCAATCCCAAAAACCGGTTACCGATTAAATGGGTTTTTTTTTTTTTGTTAAAGTGACACATGTCACAAATTAATTGGTTAAGAAAATATTTTTTTAAAAAACCAAAATTTTAAAAATTCTAAAAAAAAATAAGAAAACCAGCCACCAGCCACGAAACCGGCCAGCCACCTCTCGCCACCGTCGCCAACCATTTCCACTTCCCCTTGTAGGCCGCTATTCCCCCACCCCCTGCAACGCCGTTATCCCCCTCCCCTAGCGCCGCTATTTCCCCTCTCCCAGCGCCCGTTTCCCCTCTTCCTCCACGCCGGTGATGCAACCCACCGCCTTCCTTCCCTCATTTTCCGACTCTCAAAATGCCTTGAAAACACCTTCCCCACCATCAAATCTCCCTTAAAACACTCGATACGCCTTAAAACCACTTTCCCCACTTTCGAAAACCCCCAAACACCCCTCCCCCACCATCGTTTTACCGTAGCCGCTAAGGTTTCGGGGTGGTGGAGGAGCGATTTGGAGTTTCTGGGAGTGGGGGAGGGGTTTGGTTGGTGTTGCGTGGATAGTGTTTTGAGGTAGGGGGAAATCGGCGACGGTCACCGGCATGGAATGCAGCGGCAGGCTGGGCAATGGTGGGGTTAAGGCGGGCCGGTGCTGGAAAGGGAGGAGGGCTGGTGGTGTTTTGTGGTTTTTTTTTTGGTTTTTTTTTTAATTTTAAGACCAATCAGGACTT